CAAAGAAATATTTATAAGAAATATTGTTATAATATTCAAGAATCTGTCGCTTCAACCTATATTAAATATTGCAAAAAAATATTACTGTAATATTTATGTGCTATATGGGCTGTTGACCAAAGACTTAGAATAGACAAAGAATAAACAGCATTTATGAAGGTAGTTTTTGCTGACCTTTTGATGTTATTTAACATGATTCCATATTGTCGGTGTTGCTTGAATTTAAAAAATTGGATTTGATTTATAAAATCAAATATTTTTCAATTTCAGCATTTCCCAAAAATAAATCTTTAAATTTACTAACATTTTAGAAAAAAATTTAAATGACCCCCGAAATACAACAGTCAAAGACAAGAAAAATAGATCTACTACTTTAAGTCGCTGTTTTTTGTTACGTGTTTACTGTTGAATTATGCATCGCTTTCGCTAGTTAAAGTAAAAAATTGAATTTTGAAACAGTATTTTCATAGTTTGAACTTAGCTGAGTGGAAGCTTACCTTGTTCGTTAACTTCTTCATAATCCCTTGGTGATGTTCGGGCAGTATCCGTAACATCGTCTAATGGAGGGCGTCTTCCACTGCTATAAGCAGCACTTCCTCTGCCAGAGTCTATATTGGAAGATCCGCGTTCCTTTTCACCTGGCAAATAAATATTGAGTAACATTTAAAGGATGTAATTTATATTCCATTTAAATTAAACGCCCAACTCTCAACCGTTCTCAATGTTTTTACATTATTGCATTGATTGCAACTGCAACTTTGAGTAATCTACATTGTTTCCTGTTCAAAACGAAGTGAAATTAATTCGAAATTGACTTAAATGCATTTATTTAAATGCTTACCCCCATCATTTTCCGCTCTCCTTTTTAATTCGACTTGTGCCGATTCAATTACTCTGCCTTTATTGATTTCGTGAACAGCGCCTTGAACATTGAAACCTTTTTGCTCTATTGGTTGATTGGCGTATTTAACTTTTGGTCCATTTCGATTCAGAAAACCGCCATCGTCACTTTCTTTTCCATGGTCCTGACTTGAAGAGTTATGATGATTTGGTAGCATCATATTGGGGTCTAAAATGTTGCCTAGAGAACCGCGACGAGCGTTGACTGGCTTTTGATGACTTCCATTATCTAAATAAATATTTTACATGATACGAAAAAATTCCACCTGAAGATTGATGGTTATTGAACTCAGGTATTTGCTAAACGACCTACACAAATTTATTTCGACATCAAACCATCAAATTTGGAATTTTTTTATTGCTTTGATCACTTCCTTAATTTTTTAACCAGCTTTGACATTCCGTTTAAAAAAATCTTCAAAACCAAAATCAAATTTGATGAAGTAACATTGTAAAAGTCGCTGAATGAAATACTATTTAATGCGAATTAATTGGAGGTCATTTTACGCCCAAGAGTAATAATGAAATTCAAACCAATTCTAATACATACTACGTTGGCGTGTGTAAAATAGCTATACAACTCGTTATATCTGTAATTAACATTGGCGCCAGCCTTAAAAAAATAATATGACATAATTTCGACCTACATGAGAAAATGCAACACAAAAAATGTTGAATAATTCCTACAACTGTACAAATGTGTACCAATTTGTGCAATTTTGCAGATCCGAAAAAAGTTAACGAATTATGAGAAAACTGCCTAAAACGCCTCAAATGGGTATTTGAAAAAGTATCATTCATTAAGGAAGCCCCAGCTATCAAATGATTTGATAAAAACAGTGAGGACTCTCCCTTGTCCGTAAAAGCGTCTCTGGCTTTGCTAAATCTAGGACATCGATTTTCTCTTGTGATAAACTAGGTCTTTTGGCTTAGATATGAAATTGATCAGATTTTGTGCTGCAAACTACTTTCTATAGAATTTGTAATAAGTTTTTAGTTAGTTTTCAAATTACAGTCAATCAATGTATCGGACTGTATCCGAATCAATTTTCTCGTTAGTCCTGTATTCTTCAGTAAAAGGCTAAACGTAATAATCTTCCTTTTTGCTTGAACCACGTTTTTCAATTTGTTTTTTTTTAAATTCTTTCAGTCATTTAAAATGTCTGTACAAACAGGTTGTTTCCATCTAAAATGAACAATGTATGATAATCAGTAAAAGCAAACCCTCCAATAAGCAAAAACTTTAATGATTTCGAATTATAGTTGGTTCATAGTGAACCAGTCGATTAGTTCTAATTAGTCGACCAAAAAAGTAGAAGCATTTATGCGGAAAGCTACAAAAAATAAAACGAAAATTCCATATTTTCTTCTTTCTTTTTTATTTATTTATTTACATTTTTGACATGATACGGAGCGAAAAACCATTTTACATTTTTGTTGCTGTGAAAAATAAGATTTAAACAGATTCAAAAACAAAAAAAAATAAGAGAGAACGGTCGCTATTGGTTGTACAAAGCAACCTGATTTGGTCCTACCTTCCAACTGATTATTTTATTTAAAGCAATTAAATTAAGATTTATGCGTTTCAAACCAAAATGTTCAGATAATTTTATCTACAGCGCCTAGATTATTTAAGATTGAAATCACAGAAACGTTCGTATAAATTTGTCGATTTCGTTTGCAAAAGTATTTTTTTCACTCAGAACGTCCATTATTTCCGACTATTAACTTTGAATTAAAAAGAAGTGGACAGAAAAAATATGGCGGTTATAAAAAACCACCTTTATTACCTATTTATAATTTGAGTGCTCGTAAAATTGCTTATTTTCATGCCAATAATCCGCGTCTTTTCTTTGGCAAGTTGAAAAAATTGGAATTTTCGAATAGTACTGTTCACATATTAAAGAAGATATAATTCCAAATAAGATTCACACAGTGGAATAACGGATCACATGAGAAATAAAGGAGCAGAAACTAAACTATGACAAACTCTAATAATAGGCGAAAAACTGTGTACTACTTTTTTCAAGACGCGTTGCCTACTTACTTGCATCATGCCCTTCTCCATCTAATAGTAAATGGGGATGTGAAAGGGTACGCCTTGTCTCCAAGTTAATTTGCTTTAAATGATCCCTTTCGATCTGCTGGGCACTTCTTCGTTCGAAAGCTGCAGCTGCAGCAGCATGATTTTGAAAATCTGCCTTTATCTATTTGCGAATATATTTAATTAGTTTTTCTAAAGAAAATTAACCAATCTGTATATCCGCCAGATAAAATTATAGACAGTCAAATGATATTAACCACATTCAAACAAGACACAATAAGCAATAAAACATTATATTATATACAACAACGTATGAAGATTCTGTTAAGAGTTTGGGTTCGTTAGTTAAAATTAGAAAAAATCTGAGATTATCCATGTCTTTTCCTAGTTTTATAATCTGATTATAATAAATCTATAAGACTTTTGAACAAACTTCTCTATGACCAAAATAGTTAAGCTTTCACGGCAATTTTTTGAAAATGGTGAGATTTTTGGGTTTTTATGCTGTCGAGGAAATTAATACCTTTCTAATCAAGGATGTGAAAATGCAAGTCACTCGAAGAAATTCTTTATCCCGAAAACGAGAAAGCTCGAAAAACTCATAATTTTCAAACCTCCAATATTTATGGTTTTTTTTTATTATTACGTTCATTCGAAACCAGTACAATTTACATACCTGCGCTTCGTTCTCTGGAGTTTGGAAACCATCCGCAGGTTTTTGGAACTGGTGGCCTGCTTGAACGGGAGAGCCAAGGAAAGCTTTATTTCCATAAGCTTGATATTGCATTTGATCATCAGGCCTATGTTTGAATGCATCCTGCGTTCTGCAAAATCAATGCTATTTTTTACACAACACCCGATATAAAAGTGTTGCGATTTATGTACATGCAGCTCAGTTAATATAATTATAGAAGGCATGAACCATCAAAGTTTAACGTTAAACTCAAAAAACGAACCTTAGAAAATAGTAATTTTTTGAAAATGTTTAAAAACCGAAACTTTTTAAGCCAAAAGTTTCTCACCTGGGTTGAATTAAATGAGAATATTGCTGCTGATTTCGCAGCTGTTGAGTGTAGTACTGATGCGATGGCTGTACAATATTTTGTTGAACAACATGCTGATTATATTGATGTGGCTCGGATGCGGTCGGATAAGCTAAAATTCAACAATTTTGAGTATTTTCGAGAGTTCATTTTTCCCAAAACCGATTTTACTACAAATACCTTGTCCAGCACCCAGTCGAGTTGGGTCCATTTCAAGCACGACATTGTCCAGGGGTTTCTTCATTATTTCTGGAGTATTGTTTAAACCGGCATTGTCCTGTTTATCCACGTCCTTTCCGCGAAATTTTCCGGAAATAATGTCCTTTAATGTGTGGTACGTTTTTGTTACCCCTCTAAAAATCGTCAACTTTGTCCGCATGATTTAAATACAAATAGATTCAACGCTTAAATTATTTTGAATATTTAGAAGTTTTATACGGTTAGTTTGCGAGTCAGCTGAATTTTATGGGGGTTTGATAGAGGAGTTTAACTATATTTTAAAATATATTAAACGAATTTGGATATGTGTTTTACTGCTAGGAAAAGAACCTGAAAATCCCAAAATTGGAGACGTTATTGAAGAGAGTTATATTTTACAGTGTGTAATTATATATATAACAGTTCAAAGTTTTACATCGGTAATTGAACCGTTTCGCATTTTTACAAAAAACGTACAATTACAAAGAAAGTTTATTCAATAAAATTTTGTGATAAACTGTCCAATTTTTAAAGTGAATTTTTTACGAATTGTTGCTCAAAGCTTCCTTGATTTTAGAGGCTTCGTGATGTGTTTGATACCCCAGTGGTAAAATCTCGAATTCGGAGATAAGACTTAATAGTAAGGTGAACATAATTGACACACAGAAGTTCTAGGAACGATATTTATGGACTTTCCATTTTGTAATTAATATCGTATTAAATCTTCGCGTCAAAATGAGAAATATTTATTGTTAACATTGAGCATTTTTGATTAAAACATTTCGGGTTCGTAAATATTTAGTTTCAAAACGACAGACAATAGAATCATACCTCGAGTTTTTTGGAGTTAACTTTTCCTCTTGTTCCGTTCCATCTCGTTTTTGAGGTGTTTGATACAAAGGCTGATGTGGCTGCTCCGGCAATTGATATTCATTGGTTTGTTGAATTGACTTTTGAGTTTCTCTCGCAGCAGTATGATTTCCATACAATTCTACTTCCGGAATATACGACGCTCGATAAATTATTGGATCAGGTGTTTGTTGAATTGTTTGCGGTTGAATTGCATGTGTCTTAAAAATTACTGCTATTGTTACATCGTCTTCACGCGTAGAGGATTCATTAAAATGAAATACGATTTTTCCAAAAAAACGAATACACCTATTACCTGATCAGGATAAATCGAATGGGGCTGCATTGGTTCTTGGCGTGTCCAGGCGGTAAGTCGTTTCGGAGGTGCGTCTGGCGCTATTACCGCTCCTTTGCTTCTCTTCTTGAGATCGTTCAAAATTGGTATTTTGAAGTTTTTTTCGGTACTGGATAGTGTTATTTGTCGTTCAATCTGTGATGAACAAATATACTAGAACGTCTTATACTGATCAATGCAGGAAGTATTCATTCTTTAAGTTGCAAATACACTAAAAGCATCAGCGTTTTAGAAATTATAAACATATTTCGCATGAAACGGTGCAAAAACTTATTATTAGTATTAATACAAAAATCGAAAAACAATGAAGTTAATCATAATTATAGTTGCGCTTTAATTTTCAAATTATTTTATTTCAGCTTGTGCAAAGGCGTAAATACTCCGCCACCTTTCTTTACATTCAAATATATTCAGTTCCAAAGCAGAATTATTTATTATGTTGCGACGATATTATTAGCCTGCAACAATATTTTCGTCATTTTCCCTATCCAGAAAAAAGGTAAAAACAATATGGGCTTTCTTATACTACTTTATATAGGGACAATAAGTGAAATAATTTTTCCGGTTAGTCCTAATAAAACAAAACCATAATTAATGCATAACAAATACATGCGATGCGTAGTTATGTATGTAACTCTTGATACCATATTTATGCGCATTTATTATTAAAGTTTCCACCATATTTGAAGTTGAAACGTCCTTTAATTGAACATATGACACCACATATACAAGTCGCGTATTACCTCAAGAAAACTAGCACCTTCATTAATATTGCCGTATAAAGAGGGTTTCACGTCATTCGAGCCGAAAGCAATAAATATTTCAGTATTACCAGTTGATACTAATGCTATTATTTAGTTGAATAGGATGGTAAAGTGGTTTCCGTTTATATTGAAAATCATATTACAGGTCTTTTTGTTCAATCAAAAAGTAATTTTTCTTAGTTTATCTTAGGTCATTTGCGCTCGTTGGGACGAACCATTAAGCAAAATAGAAAGTTTTTGGAGTTTTTAAACGATTCCACTAAAATATTCCTATTTATTTTATATTTTAAAATAATCAGCAAAGGCATGGTCTGCATACAAAGTAACGTTGCGTGTTAACAACTTTTATTATAATCGATGCTAAGTCGTCCAAGCACTAGGTTTGATCTTCGATTGAACTAAATTAAACAATAAATCATCACTAACATATTTTATAGAATATTAGATGCTTTTGTTAGTTAGTTTTTCGCCCTTTGCTGTTCTCAAATAAGTATCTCGGCAACAGTTGGCATAAAATCTCATTCAATTGGTCAGTTACAGTATTTACTATTCTCTGAGCAACATGGCTTAAATACAAAATCCCTCTGTAGATTATTCGAGCACGGTAATGTTTCCTAAGGGAAGCCCTAAAAGATAATTTTCCTACGTACAAAGAGAAAAATAAATCTCATTGACGTAGAGCTAGAGCCTAATCATACTGTGCAAAAATATAATCTGCTTTCAAAGAATTGACGTGAATAATAAATGAAATAATTTAAAGTTGGTATCGGTGCGAGTCAGCTTGATAATGTGAATTTGGTGCTTGTAGAGTTCGTTTCTTCTGTTTTCCGATCTTTATCGTACTCTTTTCTTCGCATAATAGTTGGATAATATTTAAATAAAGCAATAATATTAATATCAAAAGAGATAGACTTTCGAGGCCATTCCTTGAAACAAGTGGGTTTTTCGGGTTTTTAGGCCGTCGTTCGGTAGAATTTCTTCTTGACGTT